TTGAAAGCAAGTTGTCCAAAGTTGGTCAGTCAGCACTCTATTTTTGGCTAGGTTTATTAATAACATTATTTAAATCAGACCAAAGGTAAAGGAGACGAAGGCTTACGGTGATAGCTCCCAGAAGTCCGGCAAGTGTGTTCATTGCGATCTTCGCCAAGTAGGTCGTGACCAAGGATGCTGTACCGGTCTCAGCTGCCTCGGCTTTTATACATTTGGGATTGATAAGCAAACAGATTCTGACCAATGAAAAATCTGCGAGTAGGCCAATGATGTCAAAGATCCGCTGAGGTCATGCTAACCAATGTGACTTGCTTCGAGCGCTTTTTGTCAGTTATATGTTAATATGCTCAGTGTCTGGAAAAACAAAGCGTTTTTCAACAAAGCGGCTTTGACATTAAAATAGGTTAATAGCCATATTTATTATAAGCTCATTTGGTTTCGTCTGAAAATGAGGTCATTTACACTGAGCTGGCAATACAAACGTTTTTTGAGTGCAAAAGCTAGGTTATTATTGCATACATTAAATATTCGGCCATAGGGGTAGTAGCATGAAATTCACAAAAGAGGAAATGAGAAAACTCGCAGCCCGAATGGCTGCAAGGACGATCGCCTGGAGGCGGTTGAGTGTCGTCAAAACTTTCCCAAAATATCCACGAAACAATATCTTCGTTTTGCAAAGTTTCGAATGTATTTAAAAAATTTTCCAGGAAAAGTTCTGCGTGACATAAGCTTTATTGAAGGGGTAAATGACTTTATGGCAACTGACGATTCGCTATTGATACAATGAATAGCACCTGACTTATTTAAATATGTCAATTTTACAAAACCATAGTAAATTGAGAATAAAAGGGTTGAATAAAGTCTGCTAAGTGAGACGCAGTCTGACCGAACTTATTCTGGGGTCTGCGGGGAAAATAATCTTTTTTGTTTTTTGAATATTTTGCTTCTGACAACCTTACCCTGTTACTTCGCAACATTATTGTCATAGATTGCAACAAGGAATTAATTACATTCTTCCCAAGGTTCAAAGGATTTAAAAATTTGTTTCAGTTTTAATGTGAAAAGATTAATCAGAATAAGGTGTTCGAATACGTGGGCAAAAGACCTAAAGATTAATTTTAGTAGTTTTCAGAGTAAATGAGTAATGCTGTGCAGTAGATCACAAATTTGAGGAAAATGCAGATGCTGAGAAAAAAAATATTAAGGTTATTAATTTAAAAATCGAGAAAAAGTTTTAGACTGTTGTTTAGTTTCTTACTATCGTCGATTGTAAGAAAATGTATGAAGACTACTTCGTACAAGGTTGAAGTGCGTCTTGTCATATTTATTCGGAAGTTATATTTCAAAGAGTGCCTCTAGTAATGATTCAGCAATAAACGTAAATCATGGGTATTTGTGGTAGGAATATATATTTTAACATGATCAAGTGGGTAGAACTTAACACAATGTAACACAGTGGAGGGGCAA